ACCCCCCAACCCCCCCCAGGAACCCCGCGGACCTCCTTTTTTCTCTGCTCCTGCTCCTGCTCCTCCTCCTATCCTCCCTGTGCCTCCTCTCCCTCTCCCTGTCCCGCTCCCGCTCCCGCTCCCGCTCCCGCTCCCGCTCCCGCTCCCTCTCCCGCCCCTTCTCCTCCCGCGGCGCCGCTATATGCGCCACCAACGAACTTATGTCCGGCTGGTTCCTCCCGGCCCCCCTGGGGGGCCCCCGGCCCCCCCCCAGCCTCCTCGGAAGCCATCCAGGAACTGTCCTGGCCCTCTCAACATCAACTAAAATCCTTCTTCCATCTATCTTTGTTCCATCTGCTTTCTTGTAAGCTTCTTTCATGTCTCTGTCTCTCTCGAACTCCACAAAGCCGTAGCCGCGGGCGCGGCCTTGGGCGTCGCGGACTACTCTTACCCTCCTCACGGGTCCGTACACCTCGAACTCTCTTTTTAGTTTCTTTTCCGAAGTTTCGAAGTTTAATTTTCCGACAAAAAGAGTCGCAAAAGGGTCTCCTTGAATCCTGGGATCTTCTAATGGTTTATAGGCTGCTGCTTGCTGCTGCTGCTGCTGCAGGTGCTGCAGCAGCCGCTGCCGCTTGGCTCTCTCTTGCCGCTGCCGCGGAGTCTCAAAAGCTGCTGCTGCGGGCGCGGGGCCGTTTTCGAATTTTTTGACGAAGTCCGCGAGGCCGCGGTAGGGGCGCGGCTGTTTGGACTTCAGCGCGGGGAGGGGCTCGAGGGGCTGGCGGGCTTGGAAGAGGGCTAAAAGGTGCGGAGGCATTCCAATTGCTGCCATTTTTACAGGGATTGGAGAGGATTAGAGGGGGAGGGGAGATTAGGGAGAAAAAGCGAGAAAAATGGAGAAAAAACGAGAAAAATGGAAGTGTTTTGAGGGCTTTTGGGCGCAGGGAGGAGCAGCAGCAGCAGCAGCAGGCTCCCAGGGCAATTCAGCTGTTTCTGCGGACTTATTAGAGCCACAAACAAGCGACTGCAGCAGCAACTACAACTACAGCAGCAGCAGCTGCTGCAGCAGCAGCAGCAGCAGCAGCAGCAGCAGCAGCAGCGAGGCGGCGGCAGGAGAGGTCCCAAGCGCGCGGGGCGTTTCTGCGGGATGCTGGGTTGAATTAAAGGCAGCAAATTGAATTTAAATAAATAAATAAATAAAAATTAATAAATTAATTAATTAATTAAATTAATACTCACTCCCGTCGACCCGCGGCTGCCGCAGCAGGCGCCCCGACCCCCAGCCACCCGAAAGCACAGCAGCAGCAGCAGCTGCAGCAGCAGCAGCAGCAGCAGCAGCAGCAGCAGCAGCAGCAGCAGCAGCAGCAGCAGCAGCAGCAGCAGAATCAGCAGCAGCAGCAGCAGCAGCAGCAGCAGCAGCAGCAGCAGCAGCAGCAGCAGCAGCAGCAGCAGCAGCAGACACTGCAGTTCCTTTTTGGGATTGCTGCACTTCAAATGTTTTATAAACTTCAAAACTCCAACTTTTAAAACTCCGCCGAATTCGACTCTCCAGATCCACAGCCCCGTGCGACGCGCAGCCCCCAGCAGCTTTCTTTTCTTTCTCTAATTTAATTTTATTTTTATTTTATTTTTATTTTATTTTATTTTTATTTTATTTTATTTTTATTTTATTTTATTTTTTATTTCCAAGTTTTGTTCAAATTCAACTCCAACTTTTCTCCAGTCTTTGTTTCGCACAGCTCCACCAAACGCGCGCCTGAGGCGCAGCTTTTTAAACTAAATTAACTCTCCAAATCAATTTAAATTAAATTAAATTAAATTTTAAATTAAATTAAATTATGAATTAAATTAAATGTTAAATTCCAATTCAATGAGGTTAAAATCCACCAACTCCACCAAACACCAGCCACAGAATAAGCCACCAAACTCCCGACAGCCCTTCGGGGGGCCCCCAACGCAGCTGGGGGCCCCCAGAGGGGCCCTTGGGGGGCCCCCCGGGGGGCCCCAACAACGTAGGGGGCCCTTCTGGGGGGCCCCCTACGTTGCTCGGGGCCCCCTAGCCCCCCGGGGGCCCCTCTCGGGGCCCCCGGGGGGCCAGGGGGCCCCTCTGGGGGGCCCCCACCGTAGGTAGGGCCCCCAACAACGTAGGGGGCCCCTCTGGGGGGCCCCCAGCTGCGTTCCTCCCCAGGCTAGCTAGGGGGCCCCTCTGGGGGCCCCCAGAGGGGGGCCCTTCAGGAGAGGGTCTTTTGGGGGCCCCGAAATTCTCTAAGTGCGCTGCTGGGGGGCCCCTAAATGTTTGTGTCACGGGGGGGGGCCCCCCGAGGAAATGGGGGGCCCCCAGGGCACTGCAGGGTGTTCAAGGGGCCCCCAGGGGCCCAGGGGGCCCCCAGCTGGGGGCCCCCCAATTTCCTGTAGAAGTCTCCCCAGGGGGCCCCCAGGGGGCCCCCAGGGGGCCCCTAATGCTCCTGCTGAGGGGCCCCTAAACAGTACCCAATTAGCTGTACTAGTGGGGGCCCCCAGGGGGCCCCCGGGTTACTGTGGGGGGCCCCCCGGCTGCGGGGGCCCCCAGGGTACAGGGTACTGAGGGGGGCCCCCTGGGGGCCCCTCGTGCTGCTGCTGGGGGCCCCCGGGGGCCCCCTGGGCCCCACTGGGGGCCCCAAAAAGAACTAAATGAAAGCCTCTTCATCAAAGTCTTCTTCTTCTTCTTCTTCTTCTTCCTGAAAGAAATATTCAATTCCACAAACCCTAAACCCTAAACCCTAAACCCTGCACCTCTCGGACATACGCCCCAAACCCCAAACCCTCGAACAAACCCTAAACCCTAAACCCTAAACCCTCGAACAAACCCTAAACCCCAAACCCTCCCCCCCAAACCCTCCCCCCTCCCCCCA